ACTCTTGTATGCTTTTCATACAAGTTTCACACAAGATTTATATATATCTTTTCCATATGGGTACATAGCCTTGCTCAGTTTTTTTTAATCTGCCAAACCTTTTTAATTAATTTGATGTAATCGGGACTGCAGTTTAGCATGAAGCTGATGGGCTTCAAAGCAAATTTATAGGTTTAGCTAATTTGCAACTCTTGTCCCTAGTTGGGCTTTTATATACTCAGTGCACAACCAAGACTTTACAGCATCACACACATACATTATATACTTTGTCTGAAAGTAATGATACCTTTTTTATGAACAAAGCCGGGGTAACTGTTTATCATCTTTTTTGCTAGCACAGAACCTTTGCTAGCTTGAACCTTTGCTAACATTAGGCCAACTGATATGTTTGTTAATGTTCTTTTCTCCTGACTCTTGTTGAGAGACCCTTTTCCATTCCTTTTTTTTTTACCAGCTTAGTGGTAAAGTGAAAAATGTTTATTTATGGAAATGTAGAGCAGGGTTAAGTTTTAAACAGGAAAGACAGCTAACTCCCTAAAGAAGCACTAATGTGTTAAAGTGCCTTTTACACAGTAACTCCATTATGGTACATGTTTGTAAGGAAGGAAAAAAGGTATAGAAAGTTCATTTTATCAGGCAGAATTACTCTGGGCTTTTCAGACACATACCCAAGGGGCTTGTTTTCTAACATAGGGTACAACATGACCGGAGCCTAAAGGTAGAATGACACATTTTACACCTGATTTCACTTGTTCCTTAGGGGAAGACCTGACTCACAAACATCATTAAAATACAAAGCTTCTGGGTTTTTTCCCTTATTGTTTGGGATGTACTATTGTTTTCAACTTGGGGAAGTATCTGCTCCCTGTCTGTGTTGAATTTGGTATGCCATTTGGTGTGTCTTCTGTAATGCCCAACCCCTGTTCTTACCACAAGTGTCCTATTGCTGATGTAATGTAGCTGAAAGTTGTATCCGGTCGATCATGCCGGGTCCCAGCGTGGAGCGACAGATCGCTCGGGAGAAAAAAGAGAGCAGCTTGAGTCACAGTCTGCGCTGTCACTTGCAGCTGGCCACCTGCAGACAAACCTCCAACTGGTGACAAGACGCTACATATGGTCTGTTGTCAGTGTTTGAACCTTTTATTCAACATTACACAACAGCATACACTCTAATAGTTAAAGCAGGTTGGCTAGGTTTGTCACAGTGAACTCGATAATACCAAGATTCAGCTCTTGTTGCATTTAGTGTACGTATCATTGCCGTGTAGTTGTGTTTACAGACTCTGTGTCCATCTTGTTACACTCATTTTTTGAGTATAATTCGTTTGACAAAACTCACAATAGACAAACTTTTAAAAAATTACCAGATGTACCGTTAAGTCCACAAGCATCTGAACAATCAACACGTTTTTGCTGATGCTCCCATTATTCTGGTACAAGTAAAACTTGGTGTCAATAATTATTTTAAGGGCTGTCCAGGCTTTTTAGATGTTTTCTGATGAAGGTTAATCTGGCCTTCTTGTTCTTGAGTATAACCAGTGATTTTCACATTGCTTTAAACTACTTTCACGAAGGTGTCTCTTGATTATTGACTCTGATAATGATACACCTACCTCCTCAAGAGTGTTATTTTGTCCTGTCTTCCTCCCTTCACCCCCAACCAGTCACAGCAGTTGGCTGCCCCTCCCTGATCCCGGTTCTACTGGAGGTTTCTTCCTGTTAAAATCATGTTTTTTCTTTCCCACTGTCGCCAAGTGCTCGTTTAAAAGGCATCATTTGATTGTTGGGATTTCCTCTGTGTCACTGTTGGATCGTTACTTTAGAATACAAAGTGCATTAAGGCGACTGCTGCTGTGATTTGGCCTCATATAAATAAAACTGAATTTAATTGAGCTGACTTATATAAAAGCTATAAAATACAAATTCAGCACTTTGACTTTGGCCATTAAATTGTGATTAAAATGTTCACTTGATTTTAAATCTCTGAAAACTGTCAACTGGTTCGCTGTAATTCCTAAATAGTTACTTTGTGAACTAAAACTGAAAACTGCACTTCAATCAAATACTGACTGTTTGAGTTTAAATCCACAAAAAAACCCCCAAAACAAAACCTACAAAAATTGTGTCTTCGGCCAACGAATTATTGATCTGTACAACTGTGTAATAACTGTATAATAGTATAATTTTGCACACATCAGCAAATCCTGACATTAGCTTTTTAACTCCAAAAGAGTGGTGGGGAAGACCATTAACGTGGCCCCAGTT